AAATCAATCTAATAAATAATAACTATTATTGATTAAAAAAATATTTAATAAAAGTTTAAAATATTTTTTTCAAATGTAATATAAATTGTATAATCAAGCAAAAATGATATCTATATTTTTTTCATTATTTACCTTGATATTATAATATTCTGCTTGAGAATTAATAGTTATATCTTAAAATCATTTATATATATCTACAACTTATCATATTTAACACAAAATGTAACCTATTTGTTTAAGAGAAAACTTTGTATTTATTATTAGAATCTACAAGATTTAGTATTAGCAAGATGTTATTTTTAATATATATATACAGTATATATAAATTATATATATATAAGATTGTAAATACATTTTTTTTAAAATAAAAAAATTCCTATCTATTATTATTTTAGTTTGAACTTATAGAATAAAGTTTTTCTTTATAACTCATAAATTTCGCATATAAAGCTATAGCATATATTAAGAATATGTAATTTTTTAAGCCTAAATATACAAATTTAAATAATATTTAACAAATGGAAGCTGATCTATCAAAAATGGGTTACAGGAATCTTTCAACAAAAAATGAGATTTTTGATTCATATTATAGTATATTAAATAAACTTTATTTGGTTAAATTTTTAAAGGCTATTAGCTTATTAATAAAACAAGTAATTTGGCTAGCAAAAATGCTTAAATTTCTTTGTAATGTCAATCAAATATCTAAAATTAGATTTTATAGAAATGATCGACATAAATTTTAGCAATGATTAACAAATGATCGACATATATATAAAAATGCTTCAGAGTATAGTTTTAATAGCAAAATCTTAAAAATCTTAAGTGTTATGAAGTTGATATAACAATATTTTTGACATAGCGGATTTAATAATAAAATTTTAGATAATTTATAATTTCATTATTTTTAAAATAATTTAAATATTTATAAAAATAATTATTATAATAAAATGTTATATAAATAAAATTAAAGTATCATCTTATTAATTGATTAGACTCAATATTATTTTTAATGCAATTTTTTATTGGCTAAGTATGTTTATTATGATGTAACTATTTTTGATTATTAATTACTCAAAATCAATTTACTAGTCCTGTAATCCATTTTTAATAGATCAGCTTCCAAATAGTTTTAGCAATTTTATTATTAATAAATATTAATGTATACTATTAGATAGCTTATTATTGATAAATTAAATAAGATATATTTTTTTCAAATTTTATAAAGTTATATAAATTTATTTTTATAAATTCATATCATATGATTTTTATCCTAAGAGTGATAATGTCATACTCTACCCTTAATTGATCTAAATAATATAAATATAATCTTTTTATAATATTAAAATTTTAAAGTATTAAAGAAAAATAATTTATACAAAGAAAATGTTTTACTTATTATGATATTTTAAGGATTCTTTAATAAAACTATTTGCAATTACATTTAAAATACTAAGATGAATACTTACCAAAATTTTGTGAAAGGATCAGTTATAAGAATATTTTTATAAATAAATTGAAGAAGAGAAAAAAATTAATTAATTGGAGTTGAAATAACAAATTTTAGGTATATTATAAAAGAATTAAATTGATTAAGAAATAAGTTGTAAAGAATTTAACTTAAAAAAATTAAAAGATTTTATAATATTTGTTATTATTAAGGATAGTAGTTTAATATCATAATAGCAAATCAGACTTTCTTTTAAAAAGAGTTCTAATTAAACTAAAAAAAAAATATTATATTTACATTTAGAAAGAGAAATATATTATAATTTATATTTTAAGTATAGATAAACTAAATAGATTATATATGCAATTTGTTTATCTGTAAGAAATATATGTTTCATTATAGCTACAAAATTATTGATATCTTTTTTATGTTTATATTTAAAGATGAAGTTGTAATTAATTTTATTATTTTTAACTAATTGCAACTTAAGTTATAACTCTTTAAATTGCAACTATTTATAAGTTTTTATATTAAAATAAATTTTATAAGGAGTTATAATCAGTTATAATTTAAGTTGCAACTTATCGAGTTGTAACTTCTTAATTATAGTATCATTTTTACTTGTGTTTTTATAAAAATTTGAGAGTTTAGATTATTGATCCAAATTTTTTAAAAATCTAACAGAATTTAGTTCTAGTAAAAAAATAATAACAAAAAAATCAAAGTTGATATTAATAATTAGAGATGCAAACAATTTTGTTGTGATTAATTTTTATTTAAGCAACTCTAATCAAATCATAAAAATTATATGCTATTGTAAAAATTTTTTTTAAGTTGTATTAAGAATCTAAATTTAATTAATATCATCTAAAATAAATTATGTTTTTTTCATCTACAGCTAAAACTAATTCTTATACTATATTTTTAAATATTTTGATGTATTATTTTAAAATAAATCATACTTATAAATTTATCCTAAATTAATTTTTTGTATAAATCTAAATCATTTAATTTAAATATTAATTAAACTCATTATTAATTTCTTGTATTATTATATTTTATAAAAAACGAAAAATCATTTATTCAAGTAGATATATATAACGAATTCTTGCTTTTTCAACTTTATTAATATAAAGTTTAACAGTATCTATAAATGTTTTTTGTATTGCTTTTATATAGTAAAATAAAATGTTATTTTCAAATTATTTTAAATTTTATAATATTTATTAACTAACATTTATTTATTAATATTACTATCAATATACTAAATATATACTGAGTTTTAAATACTTTCTCTATAATGATAACATACTTTTTAATTTAAATAAAAATATTAATTTAAACTTTTTAATATATCTATATCTTTATTTAATAATATATATTAAAAGATTAATAATTAAAATAAAATATAATAATATAATAAAAATTATAGAATAATAATATATTAATTAATTTCTAATAAGAAAAGTCTTCTAAAGCTCTTATTAATAATTTAAATTTTTCAATAATCTTGGTTATTACTAAAAATTTGTATTTAGCATTTTGATTAATTAAGTAATTAGCATATTTTAAAAAATATATTAAATAAATCTTTAAATGTTTCTCATTTAAGAAAATTTAGGTTTAAATATCTAAAGTAACTCAAGATAATTAAATAAAATTTTTATAATAATATTGTAATTCATCATAATTAAATAATTTTCTTGCTTTATTATAAGTTTAAAATAAGTTTGATCAAAAAAATTAGAAAATATTTCTGGGATTTTAATTTTATAATTCATGGTTTTATATAAACAACTATTCACATTATTCATATACTATATTATTTTAGACAAATCTATAACAAATTTTTTCTAATAGAATTTGCAGTATTTTTTTCAATCTATATGCTATTATTATTTTTATATATTTATTTAAATATTTCTGTAATTTATCAAAGAATTATTCAGAATTATAAATTCTAGACATTAATTTAACATTAATTAATAATACCTATCTAATTCCTTTTTGAAAATTATAGTTTTATTAAAAGAATTCATCTCTTTAATATTTTTATATGAATAAATATTAAATTATTATATTTTTAATGTATTTTTGATAAAAGCAGTTATCAGAACAGAATTTTTTAATTCAAGGAATTCAAATTAAGTTAAATATTAAATATAATTTTAATAATTAAATAAAACAGTTTTATTATTAATAAAAACTAGTTTTGTTATTTTAATTTGTTAATTTTGTTATATTAAGAAAGATAATTTCGTCATATATCACTAACATTAATGCAACTTTTATTAAATTAAATGTATTAATAGTTTATATAGTAAATTATAATTAAAGATTATTTTAAAATAATATTCAATTTTTACAATAATTGTCAATATATTTAGTATTGGTAATTTAGCCTACCAAAAAAAATTTTTTGACCATTTTGGTTTGGCCAATAACCAAAAATTTATTAATCTAAACAGAAATTTTGCTGGCCAAAAAATGTATAAAAAAAAATTTTGGGCAGCCAAATGCCAATACTTAGTATATTTATACAATTACAGAAGAAAATAAATCATAAAAAGTTAACAAATCATATTATTTTATGCATTTTAGGTTGTGTACAAAATAAAATCTAAATAAAAAATTTATATTAAAAAAAATGCCAAAGTTATTGTGTCATTTTTTAATTTTATGTGATATAAATCATTTTTGTTCAGCCTCTATTATTATATAAAAAATTATATTAAATATAGATACAAATTATAATTTTTTTTCTATATCAAATGTTAATATTAAGTTCAATAATTTTATGACATATAGATGATTTGTTTTTAATAAATTAAAAATAAAATTAATAAAATATATATATTAAATTATTACTAAAATTTACATAAAAAAAATTCTTTATTCTTATTAATTTTTTACTTTTGTAATTTAATTTTTATATAAACTTTTTTAATTCACCATGCCAATTATAAAAGAATTTATACTATTTAACTGATCAGATATAATAAATCTAATTCGAAGCTTTGAATAGAATTCATCACCTGACTATTAAATCTTTTCTTTTTATATTCATTTACCTCATCTGATTGGAAAATGCTGTGTTCTTTTCAAGCAGACGCTGTCATTTGCTGGTTTTCTTTGACATATTTATTATGATTGCCAAAGAGCATTTAATAAAGTGAATAAATAAATAAATAAATAAAAACAAATTTATACAAGCGAAGCACGATATATGAGGTGAGTGCTGCGAAAAGGGACCAAATTGTAAAAAAAACTTTTTTAAAATAATTAAAGTTTTGGATCAAACGATAAAATTTACATTTAATTCACTTAGGAATAAATTTTTGAAAAAATTTTCAATCGATTTGGCAGCACTCACCTCAAATATTCTCAGCGTCTTATAACCCCTAATTATTGTGACGTCATTGTTGTGCCAATCAGTACCAAAGTGTCACTTACAGTATATATATAACCATTTTTGTTTTGTATTGTTTAACGTGTTTAATTATTTTCTCAAAGAAAGTTCTTTCTTAAATTATATTTCGCGTAAATAAGAATGGCAAAATCCATTAAAAGTGTTCCGTTCACAGAATTTACGGATCCCCAAAGCCAACTTGTAACTTCTGAAAACCATAATGCTTTCGATCTTTACTGTGCTCAGGGTTGTGCTCTTATTTTGCGTGCAAATCTTGGAAAATGGGTTGAAAGACCAAAAAATAAGGTATGAAAACTGCTTATATTTTGGTTTAGATTTGATTTGTCATCTTTGCTTTCTAACTATTGTCTTATGTGCTGACAGTTAAAAATACCTGATGGAAAAGAATCCGACTCGGACAATTCATCTGATGATGATTCTTCTAATCAAGGATTTTGGGCTTTGAATGATGTAATGGCATTCGAAAATATTGATGTGACGAACACCATAGTTACGGGGATAAAATATTTATGTTGTCCTGGTTGTGATTTAGCCCCGTTAGGATATCATGATACTAATACGAAAAATGAATTTTTAATTGCTGTGGATCGTGTCAGTTATTTTCGCGAGTAATTACGTTTTGTTATTTTAAAGATAATATTAATTTATTAACATTTTTTGATATATCTTTTTCAATCTCACATTATAATATTTCACCTTAGTAGGTTATTTATCTATAATATTTTATAATATTAGAATTTATTTTATTTTTTTTAATCGCATCTAGGTCTTTATTTGTCCCATATATTTTTTCATAACAATAATTATTTATATTTATAATTGGCAGGGAGAGCATAATTTCCTTAAAAAAGGAACTTGGTTTTTTTTTTTTACAAGGTGGTCATAATGATGGAAAAGTATATTCCTTAATTATTATAGAATTATTTTATTTACATTTTAATTGATTTATTGAAGACCTTATAATAAATCAATAACACTTTACTTTTCTCTAAAATTTTTTTTTATTTAATAAAAAATCCGTAAGTTTTGATCGCGAGAAGTCTACTTTTCTTAAATCGTTTCTTGAATAGTTTAATAAACAGAGAAAACATTATTAGGAAAGGACTCAAACTTAAAATGCTGTTCCCAAAGAATTGCAAAGTCAATATATTAAATTAGTATATCTGAAATCCTGAAAAAAATTACTCTACATCTTGATTAGGTAGCATTTATTAATCATATTTTAGGCCCAGTTTCCTTACTTCAACTGAAAATGATGCAAACAATCTAAAATATAATATCAAACACATACTGTATCGAATGTTCCGGCACATAAATGCAAGTTGCTTTTCAAAAAATCTCATTCCAGTGGGGTAATATAGAAACGATTTTGTTTCGCATTTTAAAGGAAAACCAAGTCCATCTCTACCTTACACCAAAACCACATAAGATTATCTCATTATAAATAATAATATAATAAGAAATCATATCATCACCTCTTGTTATGAATCAACAATTAATGAATAATTGAAGTAGTAAACAGGATCATTTTCAAAATTTAAAAAGCTTAAATGAATTAGGTACAACTAATGAACTAAAACGTTTTATTAGGAAATAAGGATTCTTTAAAAGAAGAAATACGAGAATTTGCAAAGTAAAAGTTAAGAGAGAGGACGCGAACAAATGAATCAAGGAAAGATTATATTTGGAAGGATATTTCACTCGAGTCTATGCAGGTTGAGCTTATCCAAGTAACGGATTATGTATGTATAATGGCGCTTCTTGATATCATCTCAAAAAATTTTAAACTAAAATCAACATAATTAGAACAAAAAAAATGCGAGAAATGCACGTGATGTCAAGTAGCTGATCGACGAACTTCTAGTGTTTACCTTTCCTTTTTGGGACAAGCGATTCCTTTTCCCAATGTTTGTTTGTTTGACAAAATATCAAAAATATACAACTCTTCATTTCTTCTATTATTATTATTGCTGTTTTAGATCGCGATTATAACTTAACTTTTAAAGACCATTTAGGTTTGATTATTTTGCATATTCACTTTCAAATTATATGTTGTACTGTTTTATTCATTTTACTTAAATTAATAAATTCCTTTTTTACCTTAGCATCTCGTTTTCTCGAATAATCGAAAAGCTTTTACATCTTTTAATCAATTTTGTTTAAACAAATGGGTTCAACTAGAAATAATAGTAAAATTAATTCGGGTGAGTCGTATAAAAAGTTGGAAAATAGGATTAATGATGGTAAAATAAAAAAAACACCATGCGGATCCGTAACGAGAAAAAATAATAAGTTTCAAAAAAGATATGAAAGACTCAAAAATGTAACAAATGAGAAATATACCGTTACAAAAGATTTGATAGATCAATATGAGAAATTATATGGGAAACCTGATCAATTATCCTTTCAAAAATCTGAAAGTTTACCTACTCCGGGGAGTTCCAGATTAAGTAGTATTGAACGATCATATCCTGAGCCTACAACAGTTAACAAGGATGTAAAGTATAGCATATCTCCAAGCTCCTTCATTCAAACACCGAAAAGTCCTTTTTCACCAACGTACGTTCCAATATATAAAAGTTCGACTTTTCCCTCATCGCCAGCTTTTTCAAAAAAGCCAAGTCCACCTCCTCCACCGCTGTTCAAGACCACAAAAGAGGTATACTGCTATACATATTATAATGAGAAGTCACATGATCAAATAAATTCATTTGAACCTCTCGAGTCTTATAATGAATCAAATTCTTGGATAATAAATAAATCCAAGGTAAACGTACCGGCGATCGTACGGGAAAGTCAAGTATTAGAATTACAACAAATTCCATGTTGGTTTTATCACAATTTGAAAACGGGAGATAATCGAAGATCGGTTGAAAGACTTATAAAAACTGACGATGAATATGAATGGTGTGAACCTATTGAAATAAAGCAATTTGTACCATTTCCGAAAGAATTTTCGTTAGTTACTGAATTTAAAAAGGTTGAAGATACTATACTAGAAGAAAAACTTGAAGAAAATGATAAGGTAGTAAAGGAGGAGGAACAAGAATTTGCAACCGAAAAAGAAATTCAAGAAGAAGATTTGTGCCTTGTGAAGGTAGAAGAGAAGGGAACACAAGATGCGATTAAATATATCAAGGAGAATAATAAGAACGATTATAATCTAATAGCTTATATATGTCGTGAACTATCGTTGAAATCACCACGAAATTCTGATAAATTTTCAACTTATAAAAGAAAATCTGCCAAGAAACGTTTACAGGATTGGATTCAATATGATGCGTATCCTTCAATGACATTAGAACAAGCCGAAAAACTTGTTGTCATGTTGAATGCGGGCAGTAAAGTTCTCGTGACAGGAGAAAAGGTTTCGGTGTGTGGAAATGATCTTGTCACTCTGAAAAAACGAGGTTGGTTAAATGATGAAGTGATAAATTTTTACGTCGAGCTGATCGTCAAACGTGCTGCTAACGAACCAGGAAAATATCCTAAAATACACATGTTTAATACTTTCTTCTATCCATTGTTGGAGAAAAAGGGGTATTCTGGAGTAGCTAGGATTACAAGAAGAGCTAAAGTTGATATATTTTCTCTTGACATGGTTCTTGTTCCTATTCATTTACAAATTCATTGGGCTTTAGCGGTCATCAACTTCAAAGAACGTCGCTTAGAATATTATGATTCCATGAGTAGAGGATGCAATGAGCATATATTATCATCATTGAAAAGATACGTTGAGGAAGAGTACAAAGACAAAAAGAAATCGTCAAGCTACGACATGAACGGCTGGGAATATTACAGAGTGAATAATTTACCTCAGCAAAATAATGCATTTGATTGTGGCGTGTTCGCGATGACTTTTGCCGAACACATTAGCAGAGGCGCATCAGTGCTCTTTGTTCCACCCAAACATATGAAGTATTTTCGGTTGAAGATGATGTGGGAGATAGTCAACTCAAAATTGTTGCCTGTTGATCAGCAGCAACATTTCGTGAATAATCAGCATAATGGGGTTTCAGAACCACCAATGATGAACGACTGGAGCATAAATGTTAATTCTTCATGTCCAAAAAGAAAATTTGAGGATATCAGCGCATTTATTAAAACATGAATATCTTATCAATATATGGGGTGATTTCATTTATATATATATATATTTTTTTTGAATTTTTTTTTGAATTAATGTTAAATGTATTAATATTATTTTATTTTTGTTTGTTTTTTCAACAAAATGAAAATCAGAAAATCAATATTTATAGCTTCTTTATTTGATTTAGAAAAAATTTTGTTTTACGTATTAGCTTTTAAATAAAAAATTATTTTGTCTTGCAAAGATAATATAATCTTTATTTTAATCTATTGAATTTCTCAATAAACCAATTCATAAAAGACGACCGACACCAAAAATAGTCCATCAATTAAGTCATAATTATTATAGAATAGATTAATCATCATCATCATCATCATCATCCAAGTCATAGTCGACTAATATCATATTGAAAATTCAAAAGTTAGAAATTTAAATGCATAGAGATTAATTCTCAAATAAAATGAAAAATTTACCATCATCTGATAATTTCATTCCGATCTGGCCAGAATCTATTTAAAGATGAGCAATTTGAATCTTAAATAAATAATCATGAATTTTCAAATATATTCCTTTGTAAACTTTACATACCAACATATTCAGAATTTAGAGAACTATTTCCGGGTTCAGGTAAATCATTAAAATATAAAAGTTTGCTGATATGTTTTAAATCCGAATTTTTTTTGAATAATAATTGAATATTTGGAATTTCTTTATCAGCTTTATCAAAAGTTGCTTTGATTTTTTTAGCTTTCTCATCTGTAATTCTTTCCGCCAAACAATCACATAAGTATAATATGGCCTTTTCTAATTTCTCCGCAGTTGGCCTCTTGTTAGCATTAGCATCCATACATTCGTGAGCCAAAGCTTTATAAACTTCGGGAGTACCTTCACCAAAATCAGGTCTTAATCCACTACAAATTGACAAAGCTAGCATCCTATCATTTCCCTGATTATTATAATAAGGAGGCAAACCAGTTGATAATTCTGTCATAATAATACCAAAACTATAAATGTCGGCAGGGGCGGTATATGTTTTTCTTTTTAATACTTCAGGTGCTACATAAGTTAATATGCCAAAAATTTCTTTTGAATTTTTATTTGCTGGGCCAGATAATCCGAAATCCGTTAAATACGGTATTTGATTATGTAACAAGATGTTTCCACTATGAAAATCTTTATGACATATTCCTTGTTCATGTAAATTTTTTAAATCTTGGATTATCCATTTTAAATAAGATAATTTTTTTTTCCATAATATATTTGAAAAATTATCTGCGAGAAAACCGCGTAAACTACCATCTGATGCAAATCCTGTAACCATCATTATTTCATTAGTATCAGGATTTTTGGTTAATCCATAAAAGGATAAAGATTTATTTCTTAAAGTAAATCGATAATATATCTCCATCTATCAATTTTATTTGATTTTATTAATCTTGTTAAAAAAAAAAAATAAAAACAAAAAAAAGTAATTAAATTACCTCATTTAAATATTCTTTGGAAATTTCATGGATATCCTTAACACTTTTGAGAGCAACAAAATCAGGTAATGTACGAAACTTTTTAATGATCATATCATTTTTTTTACTTGTATACATATATTTGTTTCCTCCAGTTCTATCTAACCAATTAGCCAAATAAACTTTTGCAAATCCTCCTTCACCAACTTTTTTGATATCTTGAAATTCGCTATATTCTATCCATTTTAAGCCTTTATCATAATTTGTCGAATTTGTTTGCGTTTCTCTTACAAAATCATGTATAATTCGATTTCCACTTATCCAATCTGTCTCGTCCGCATTCATTTATGAAAATTTGTTATCAAACAATTTTTTTTTTTAAAAAAACAAAATGTTGAACAAATGCTTTTTTGGATTTTGTATAACCTCAACTAATTTTTTTTTTGTACAGAAGTATATCATATATTTGTTCTCTTCGGACAGGAAATCCTATATATATACAGTCGATCCTCTCTGTAGTCACCTCTTATATAATCACACCCTTCTTATAATAAGAAAATACCCCTTTTATAAACATAATAATATATAAAATATAATCACATCAATTTTTAGTCCCATATTATAATAAATTATAATAAATGTAAGAATATTGCTTATATCCCTTTATATAATCACTGTAAATCATATCAATATTAATTTAATAAAAACTCATTTTCACTTTTTCAAACCAAAATTTTTCAAAAAAATGAATAATAAACCCATATAAAGAAGGTCTCTTGTGTTTTATTACACCTTCTTCTTTATACAAGAAAGTTATAACTCATTAAAGCATTACAAAACAAAAAAAATGATCCTAAGTTCATTTCATATGTTATTTCTAATTAGTGTTCTGCAAAAAATCTGATTCAGATCTGGATTTTGATTTGATTCAATCTGTCGGATCCAGATCAGATTTGGATTTGGATTTAATTCAATCTGACAGATTCAGATTTGGATTTAGATCTGATTTGTTAGATTTGAATAAAAAATGCATTTTCCGAAGTCAGATGTGGTGGCATTTATTATTAAAAAAATTTAATTTTTAATAATAAAATGCTGCCCAAAAGATAGACATGTCATTTATTATTAAAAATTAATTTTATTAATTTTTAATAACAAAATGCTGTCCCAAAAGTCAAAGGTGACATTTATTAATAAAAATTAATAAAAATTAATTTTTAATAACAAAATGCTGTTCCAAAAGTCAAGGCGACATTTATTATTTAAAAATTAATGTTTAATAATAAAATTCCACCCTGAAAGTCAGATGCGGCATTTATTAATAAAAAAATTAATTTTTATTTATTTTTTATATTAAAATACCGCCCGAAAGTCAGATGCAGCATTTATTAATAAATGAATTGATTTTTATTAATTTTTTATATTAAAATGACACCCTTAGAGCTTTGAATCAGGTCAGGTCAACCTGTGACCCGACCTGATCTGACTTGAAAAATCCAGATCAGGTAGACAAATTTTCAGGTCAATATCAGGTTGGGTCAAGCTTATGACCCGACCTGATAAAATTCAGGTCAACCAATCAAATTAAACGAAATAAAATATTTAAAATAAATTTTTTTTGTCTATTTTTTTTTTAAAACATCTTTAATTTTAAAACATCTTTAATTTTCTCCTAATTTTAATTTTAACAAAAAATGCAATAACTAGACAAACGAAAAATAGAAACGCTAATAAAAACTCTCAAACTCTTTTGAGCAATAAAAGAAACAATAACAATACGAACGATAACACTTTTTCTAGTTCCAGCCAACAAATTTTACTTACTGAACAGACTGAGCAACCCAAAAAAATTAAACTCTCTTCCGATAATTTTTCCTAAAATATAGAAACTACTTTAGAATAAACTATTAACAATATTATTACTGGAAATGACTTTATTTCACCTTCTAATGACTCAACATTTGAACATACTACTCCAGAGGTTATGGATATTAATTAAACTTCTACAAACTCAAACGATAAAGAAACTTATTCTTCTCCTGCTAAAGATACAACTAATGACTCTATGCACGCCTTCAATTCCAATTCCCACAACAATAATAACGACCTTCTTCACCCAATCACAAACCAGATTATTACTAACAAAGGTAAACAAAAAGAAGATACATGGTCAGAAGAAATGGATAACGAAGACAAAACACGTGATCAAAATACATAAGAAATTTCTTTCAACATCATTATTGCACCTACACGTTTTTACACGACGGACAACGCCTCAGACATAAAAGGAAAATCGATTGCTGAAAAACGCACGTTTGTCAACTCCCTTTTCATTTATTACAACGGATACTAAGGCTCGACCTACATTTTCAAAATTAGAAAATTCTTTATTTACTTTGATATGATGGACTCCCTAAAAAATGCACTCACAAAGACACAAGAAATACAACATAATCCTATTTTTACCATTGTCGATCCTGCGGTTAAACAACAAAGACAAGATACCGAAAAAGGCCAAACCATAAAAGTATCTGATATTTCCTGTTTATCAAATCAAATGTTATTAGAAATTACTTCATTAAATATGAAAAGATCTCCCAATTTTCTATGATTATCTGTAGACCCTGGCAAATCGCTTTCATTGTTTTTGATGAACCTAATGCTATCAAAACTTTTTACGATTGAGTTTAGTCTGTTACTTTTTTAGAATTTCTGCTTAAAGTAGAACCAATAGATCTCGACCTCACACAAATGGTACTAAGACAGCAGTTCGAACTTAAACTTACAGGATTACCCTTCAACACTGATCAATGACAACTTATTGACTTTTTACTTCACATTAATGCCAAATCCTGTTTCATTCTACATGACTAACAATATAGACTCAGGCTATATGCTTTTATTAACTTCGCTAGTGCTGAAGATGTCGCAGCAGCTTCTTCACAATCACAAAAATTCAAAGGAAAAATATAATATTAGATGGCTCCTTCCAAAAAACACTGTAGAAGCTGTGATGCCCCCGATCATGAATTTAAAGACTGCACTAACTGCAAAACTACCAATTCTTATCATCCATTATATGATCATTTCAAACCTGAACAATACCGTCCTTCAAGGTCATTTAACAATATCAATGGTGGTCTGTCCAAATCATACTCTCAAACACTTACTGATCCAAAAAAACCTATTCCCCCCAAAGGAATGACCAATAATGTTTCTTCAAACATGGTTGACGCTCTAAAAGTCTTCCAAGAAAAACTTGATATCATTGAAAACAAACTCGTCTCGATAGATGATGAGTTAGTTTTCCTAAAAAATGCAGCCATTAAGCAAGATCAAAACCAAAAAGACATTGACTTTCATCTCAACCATCTCGAATTTATGCAATATGTCATATATGACCCCGATCAAATTGATGATCCCACATATGAATTTCCACTTCACAATGGTGATGAGAAAATGGAATGTATGCCAAATAATCCTCCTGTTATTAACAATGATCAAAATGATTCTGTACCTAACATAGTTTCTAACAACATACCTAACTCTCAAATGAATGACCTTAATCACATTGTTTTAGTTAAAACCTCAATTAATGACATTAGATCTGAAATCAGAGAAATTTCAAGTGCTTTACGTTCTATGATTCAAGCGTCAACATCATCCAATCAATAAGTGTACACCAATCCAATCAAAATAATGGTGTTCAGTCAGTCCACCTTAATAATAATGAAAAAATATTAACAAACAACAATTTCTATTCTCATTTCAACGACCCTAATTTTTTTTCCTTCGCTACTCAAAATGTCAGAAGCTATATCTCCAAAGAAAAAATGTCCCAAATTGAATTTTTTTATCACTTACAATCTTGATATTCTAGGACTTAGTAAAACTCATTTAAACTCAGCTCAAGCTCTTCATCTTTCAAAAAATTTTCACAATAAGCCATACAAATTCATCTTTTCGTCAGATAATTCCTAAATAAACTATCAAGATGTTAGTTTTATTATTAGATCTTATCTATATCAACATATTTTCTTTTAAAAGTTCATACTTGACAGAATTGCCTACATCAACCTTCAGTTCAAAAATAAGACCAAATTAAGAATTATCCAAATTTATCTTCCAGCTAATACTACGGATCGTGATCAATTATTACTAAGATCAAAATTAGAAAATATGATAATTAACATTATTCTAGAAGCTCTGTCCAAATCTTATCACATAGTTTTAATGGGAGATTTTAATATTGATTTTTATAAGCTTCAATATAAACATAATAATACGAAAAGAAATAGAACTTGTAGATCATTCATTGATAAAATTCTCAACCTTAATTTTATCCATACTGCCTTGTTACTCTCAAATTCTTCAAAAAATTACCCCATATATTTACCTCCTCCCGAAAAACTCATACACATATCGATTATATCTTTACTTCAATTTCTTTCTCTCACGATCTCACCTCTTTCAAAATTTTCGATTCCGCTAGCACTATTTACGAATCAGACCACTTACCTTTGCATATCACGATTTACAAAAATAATATCTTTAATACTTCGTCAAATGCTTATCGCAAACAATATAAGACCACTCGAAAATCTTACAACTTTGATAAGACTGCCTTTTTACACTAGGATTTATTCTTTAACAAATTGGATAAGTTAATTAAAGAATCGAAAAGTTTTCAAAACCCTAATATTTTTGGTTTCTTTCAAACTTCGATTAATCAAGTTTGGAAATTTTTTGTGCAATCAGTAATTTGTGCTGCTAACAAACACATCCCCAAAACTACTACTACATTATATCACAAGTCCCTTTATAAAAGTTTTCATAGATAAGATATCATCTGGCCTAATTCCTTCATCATTCCCATTTATCATTTCTTCTGAAGAACATAAATTAGTCTTGACCATTGCTACAGAACATAAAATATCATCAGCTTCTC